AGAGATGAGCGTGCATGTATATGAATATATCACGTAGGAGAATTCTGATCTCTTCTTCTCTTTTCCATGAGCCTAACGGTGTATATATAGAGCTACAATAGAGACCTTTAAGAGGTTAGAAATAGAGCTTCTTAATTAAGTAGACCAAGTGTGGGCCTAGTTCATTCCTCTAATTAATTAAATAATATTATGAGTCACTAACATAATATTACTTTACTCCATTTTCCTAGCTCAATTTACAATTGAGACTCTAATAATATTACCCGAGCTACCTCTCCATGTTTAAGATATATTGTCTATTAATTAATTCGAGGACTGACAATCAAGAATTAATTAATATATTATTATTTCACCAATCAAGAATTAATTAATATATTATTATCTCACCGAAACTAGCATTCGCTTATCATTATTATTATGTCAGAATTTAATCTACATGGAGAGTGCGTTTATGGTGCACTTCACGTGCGTGTAACACACACCCGTTTTTCCCTTTTTCCCTTTTCTTACAAAACCAAAACATCAAATATACGGCAAGTTTTTATTCATTTTAGGAAGCACGTGCCACGTGCACACAGCGCAGACAAGACAATCGTCCCTCTAAATTACCAACTTCTTCCAACTGACTTGTCCATGCTTCCTTAATACTGCCTAGCTTTCTCCGCCCAAAACCTTCACTCACACTATCATATCTCCGCGCGGCCGTCCACGGCGGACCTCGGCCTCCCCATGGCGCAATCTATCAACCTCTTCATTTCAATCTCACACTCCACCAAGCCCTCGCTCAGCTCCCCCAACGCCGCTCTCCGTTTCGCCCTCGCGAAGAACCCTAGTCGGACCTCCCTCTGCGTCAGGGCCTCTGCCGCCTCAGACTCAAATCCGGCGTTTCTGACATCAGGAAACGGCGGTGGTGCCGTTTTAGCAGCCGATCGTTTGCGCACGGTCGCTGATTCCAGCTCAATCGACGTGGATGCGGTGACGGAGGCGGAGCTGAAGGAGAATGGGTTCTGCAGCACGCGTCGGACGAAGTTGA